AAATAAATAAATAAATAAAGACGGAGACTGTAAAGAGTGCTCACCTCACAGGGTTGTAGGGAGCTAAAAAGGGATGTGTGCTGGGGGCTAGGTCAGCACAGGCCCCCAGGTGGCCCATCTGGCCTAGGAAAGGTGCACTCGTGCCTTCCGGCTTTGGAGCAGTAGAAGGTGGCAGGAAAAATCGCCTCCAGACTCCCCAGCTACACATGTTTTCAGCTCTAAACAAAAAAGCTCTGCTGTTTTTCTTCCCCGGATTAAAAATTTCCTGCTGCTCTGCAAACTCTCTGAAGCCAAGAAATCCACTGCTTTTGGAGGACTGGTGATTTCAGTCCCTTCTATTTTTCCCTGTTCTTCCCACTAACCAGCATGAAAGAAGATGAAAAACAAAACCAGTTTGGCCGTGTTTGCACTGTCCCAGGAAGAGGATTTTATGAGAGAAGGGAGAAGACTATTGGGCACATAGAGCTGGAGACGTCCATTGCATTGACCTCAGGGGGTTTGTCTGCCCATCTGTTCTGTCACCTCCGCCTCCTCCATTCTGCTCTCTGTGTAAGCACACGCATACAAAGCCTCCACTCTGCCCAGAGGGCTGGCACTAGCTCTTCTGCCATCTTGCTTTGTGACCTCAGACAAATCACTTCCCCATTTTGACCCACAGCCTTCTCTTCTGTAACCTGAGCAGAATCCCCATCCATCCCCCATCCTCGGCTAAAAACGTCTGTGAGCCCATGATCCCTGTCCCGTAACCTGAGCAGATTTGTTAAGAGGCAGGTGGAACGTGAGATAGCCATCTGACTAGGAGTCCAGACCAAAGTGAAGAAGCTGGTAGGGCGTGGGTTTTCTGAGAGCTGGGGCCAGACTGGGGGACGAGGGTACAGAGGGAGGGGAACATTTTGTTTGCTCCATCCCCATAGAGACCAGACTCAGGGCACCTACCCCCCAATCCTGAGAGTACCACAACTATCACCAGGCTATTCCTGGCCTTTGTACCGCTCTGCCATAAAATTGTTCAACATCTTTCCTTGAAACTTGGTTGAGACATCTCCAAATGTCAGCCCCAGCACCTCCCCAATCCTCCTGGCTAAAGTCCCTGAGGGCCTATCTGCAGGCCTCAAAGTCACGCAGGTCTGGGTGGCAGAAGAGCAACCTCAGCCTTACAACCTGGGTGGGGGTGGGGGGCGGTACCTGGAATTAGTCACATTGCCCTGGGTGGGTCTAGGGCTGAGGCACCTGGGTCTGCCAGATCACTCCCTTCCCTCCGGCCCTGCCCACCCTGTGCCATGTGGACCCAACATACGCTTGGACTTAGGCTTCCGTTTCCCTTACCCAATCCCTCTGTCTTGCTGGAGCCCCACCTGCTTTGCCCAGGCCAAGGCACATCCTACTCTTGCCCACTCAGTCCCCCAGGGAGCGGCATCCTCCTCCTGCCACTGGGGTCCTGCCATGTGTGAAGGACCAAAAGCCCTGACCTTTGACACCACTCCACGCCCTCCTCGCCTACCTCCTGCTGTGTTCTGCCCACTGGAATGTCAGCCACTCCACCCAGGAAGTGCTGAGTGCCCCCTTTGAGCCTGCCCTACCTGGCCAGACTCCTCAATCCCTGTCCTCTTCATTAACTCCCACAGTCAAGATCCCAGCAGCCCATCAGAGGGATGCCTAGGAAAATGAGGTTCTCGGGGAAGAGGCCCAGGGGGCCACCAGGTCAATCGGGCCCCACACATTGCCCCCCTGACTCAGAGGCCTCACACCCCACCCCAGCCAGCCGGCTGCTCTCTCACCTTCTCCAGCTGGTGGACACCCTCTTCCACGCAGCAGATGGAGGCCAGCGTGCGCAGCGCCTGGGGGTACAAGCATCGGAAACTGTCCTGGCGGCAGATCTTAAAGAGAGCTACGACCCCACCCTCCTGCAGGGAAAAAAGAAAATGTGACATGACCTCCCTGGGTCCTCTTTCCTGGGGCCGATGGGAGAGTGATTGGCATCCCTCACTCAGCTGCAATGATTTCGGGTCTGGAGGGTGGCTGAATATGCCACCCCAAAATATGTCACTGGGGCGTAAAGATTATTTTGAGCCAGGGGCGCCTGGGTGGCTCAATTGGTTGAGCGACTGCCTTCGGCTCAGGTCATGATGCTGGAGTCCCGGGATCGAGTCCTGCATCGGGCTCCCTGCTCGGCAGGGAGTCTGCTTCTCCCTCTGACCCTCCTCCCTCTCACGCTCTCTGTCTCTCATTCTCTCT